GAGGAGGAGGAGGAGGAGAAGGAGGAGGCGGAGGAGGAGGAGGAGGAGGAGGAGGACTGCGAGAGCGAGGAGGATCCGGCCCGTGGCGCCCGAAGGCTGGGCGTCCAGTGGATAGGCGGCAGCGGCGGGGCGGCACCGCGGGCCGCCCCCCGCGAGAGCCTGCTGGGCCTGCAGGGCCTGCCCCGTCGCCTCGACCTGCGCCCTCGTCACCTCGGGCAGCGCGGGGGTCCAGGCGGAGACTGCCCGTGCGGAGACCGAGCACTCCGTCTGGGCGATCCCCGAGTGGACATAGCATCCGCAGAGAGTGGCACCCGTGGGGGCGCGTGCCCCCCCCCCCCCGCACCCCGCCAAACGTGTGCTGACACAAAATCGTGGAATCATCGTGCTGCTGCAGCAAGGGAAGCCGAATGAAGAACGAAACGGTTTTCTGGCCATAGCGAACCTCGGCCACGAGCAGACCCCACGACCCCGATCTCAAGCGCGGCCCGGAAATCCGAACCCCTATGTCTTGATTGTCGTGAAGGTCGCGCCGAACGATGCGCAAACGAAGTCTGCCATCTCTGTGTTTTCTTTGTTCTCACCGTCGTGATTCATCGCCATTGCCGGACGATTTTCTGAGCATTCGTGCTGCACTGGCAAAAACGTTCACTGGGCCGGAGGGGCGCACCTTCCTCACAGCTATCTTTCTGAGACCCTTTTTGGCCCCGACCACCTGGCAGTTCGTGAACTGAAAATGTCGACCCCCCCAAAAAAACATGCGCGGCGCCCCCCCGACGAGGAAAGGGCCCTCCTCCCCCTTCCTCCTCCTCCTCCTCCTCCTCCTCCTCCTCCTCCTCCTCCTTCTCCACCTCCTCCTCCTCCTCCTGCCCCTTCCTCCTGCCCCCCGTCCTTCTCCTCCTCCTACCGCCATCCTCCTCACCCTTCTTCCTCCTCCTTTCTTCTCCTCTTCCCCTCTCTCCCCCGCGACACCCCAACCTCAATACTCCTCCCCTCCTCCTCCTTCTCCTCTCCTCCTCCTCCTCCTCCTCCTCTTCCTCCTCCTCCTCCTCCTCCTCCTCCTCCTCCTCATCTGCGGAAGCCAACGCTTCCCACTGGTCGACATGGGCAGAAAGAGAGAGAGAGAGAGAGAGAGAAAAAAAGAGAGAGAGAGAGAGAAAGAGAGAGAGAGGGAGAGAGAGAGAGAGAGAGAGAGAGAGAGAGAAAAAAAAAGGGTGTAACCTGCGCCCCGCGCTCTCGGCATATCCCCTGGTCCGACACGGCAGCAGAGGCAAAGCATGCGATGCAACAGGAGGTACTGAAAGACGTGCAACACTAGACAACTGCGGCTGTTGAGGCGGCCCACAATGCAAGACACTGGTCTGTGGCTCAATATGACAAAAACACTCCTCCAAAGTCTTCAACCGAAGAAACAGCAAACAAGAGGAGCTGACACAGGCAAACAAAGCAGGGCAACACTTCACTGCAAATCCACCTGAATGCCAGAAGTAGCAAGCGCCTCGATCACCCGCGTCAGTGCGTGCTCTAGCTGCACCACCTTGGTCTCAATGGCCTCAACACGACTGTCAAACCGGGTCGACCTGTCAGCAGCCTCAAGCCAGGAAGTACGACTGTCGAGGCTCTCGAAGGCATCCCCCAGGAGGAGTCACTTTGCTCGGCATCTCGGGACGTGTCTGGGAGGCTCCCTCTCCGGAAGACGTGCCAGGGCGTAGGGCACCGCTCTCGCTCTGTTCCACGAGGTACTTCAACCAGGCTAGGAGGAGGAGGAGGAGGAGGAGGAGGAGGAGGAGGAGGAGGAGGAGGAGGAGGAGGAGGAGGAGGGGGAGGAGGAGGAGGAGGAGGAGGAGGAGGAGGAGGAGGAGGAGGAGGACGAGGAGGAGGAGGAGGGGTTGAGATGAGCAACGCACCACGAGCAGTCGCCGGGGTCGGACTGCCACGCGGACTCGAAACTCTTGCCTTTGTGCTTGCCGAGACCTAGCGTAGCACGCGTCGTCTCATCGCCCCTCCACGCGGAGGCAACCCGACGACCCGAGCTTGGCCCAAATCTCGGGTTTGGGGGGGATACGGGTGCCTCCATTTGCTTTTTCAGTGTTCCCCGACCCACCCCCCAACTGGAAATGGAGGGCCCATTGAGGCCTTCGGGTTGGGTTGGGGTGGTTTGGTGGGTTGTGAAGGACCCCGTCCTCCGAGACCCTTAGGTGCTCATTCTGGGGACCTTCCGACCTTCCTGGAGCCACTCGCTCCAGTCGTGCGTCGAAGCTGCGTCGATCGAACCCGAGTCGAACCTGAGTCGAACCTGAGCCGAACCCGAGCCGAACCCGAGCCGAAAAACCCGAGCCGACCCGGAGTCGAACAGATCCGTCAGGTGGGCCCCGAGGAGGAGGAGGAGGAGGAGGAGGAGGAGGAGGAGGAGGAGGAGGAGGAGGTGGGAGGAGGAGGAGGAGAGGATGAGGAGGAGGAGGAGGAGGAGGAGGAGGAGGAGGAGGAGGAGGAGGAGGAGGAGGGGAGGGCCTCCCAAACGAGCGTCGAAGGACCCCGTCGTCGTCCTCGCCCTCCGCCGTCGGGCGAGGCAGCGGCGCGCGCCGGCGTGCCGCCGGGCCTCTGCGGTGCCGCTCGCCGCGCCTCGGGTCTTCGAGCCCGCTCCCCGCCGGCCTTCCGTCGGGCCTGTCCCTCTACGGGAGGAATAATCAGAAACAGTCAGCAAAAAGGTGTCAGGGGAGGACTTTCGACTATTTTGGGATGTTCTCGAGCATTTTTGTGGAAGATGTCCTATTTTTCCTCCAACATCCGCCTGCAGGGGGACAAACCCGGCCTGACCCTAGTCTGGCCTCTCCCCCCCGCACCTCCGCGAACGTCGCATTTAAAGGGGCCCAGGGACTCACGAAGAAAAATAAGCACAACCCCCAGGCCACCCCCCATTGTTACAGATCTTCTGGATGTTCGTCTTCCCCCCCCCACTTCCCACCTTTTTCCGTCCATAAATCCGATGACTTGTGCCTGTGTGCTCCCTCCTCTCCGGAGCATCGCGCCAGCAGCTGGCTGTCTGCCCCCTGCGCGGCCGCCCGCGCCCGCGGATCGCGAGTCCGGCACGGTAGCGGGAAGGCTTGCGCGGTGGACTCCCCGAGGATGACTGAAGGGGCCCCAGGACACACACACACACACACGCACGCACGCACGCACGCACGCACGCACGCACGCACGCACGCACGCACGCACGCACGCACGCACGCACGCACACACACACACACACACACACACACACACACACCCGTAGCCATTTTGGCTCAAGGCCATGCATTCCCAGCGGGTGCAAGTCACGACGTGGCGCTGTGAGCACTCTGGGGGAGTGCTGGCAGAGCCAAAATCCTTCAAACTTCAAGCGATCCGGCCGAATTCTTTCGGCACCTCCTTCAGTCACTCCGACCGCGCGCGATGTCCCATTGGCACTGCGGCAGCTGCGATGTCTGGAACATCGCGAAGCACCGCCGCTGCGTCACGCCCGGGTGCAAGGGCTTCTTCGGGCCAGCGCTCGGGCAGCAGCGTCAGCCCGGCGGGAGCTGGCGCAACGGGCCGCCGAAGCTGCCCAAGGGCCAGGACAAGCCGCCCTGGCGCCGTGGCGGTGGCGGAGGCGGCCGCGGCGGCGGCGACGGCAGCGCGCCGCCGCAGCAGGTCAGCGCCGATGAGCTGGCCACCTACGCGGCCCTACCCGCCGAGACCTGGGAGCTCTTCCGCACTAAGTTCTCGCGCTCGGTGCAGGACAAGGTCACCAACATGCGCCGCGCCAAGGACTCGGGCCTCGAGCTGGTTGCCGTCGGCTCCGACGCCAGCCAGCAGGTGGAGAAGCTGTCTAAGCAGCTGGTCCAGGCCCGTACCAAGGTCAGCAAGGACACGGAGCTCGCAGCCCAGGCGCTGCAGTCCCTGGCCGAGTCCAAGGACAAGGTCGCGAAGCTGGAGCAGGAGCTCCAGGACGCCCGTGCGAAGGCTGCACAGGCGTTCGCAGGGCCCGCCCAGGCCTCTTTCTCAGCCCTCGAGGCGGCCGTCTCCAAGATCTCCGCCGAGGCCAACGGCAAGACTGTCGAGCAGGTCCTCGGAAGCCTGCAGGAGGCGCTGGTGGCCTGCCGGCCCGCGCCCGCACCCGTGCCTCCCGCGCAGCCTCCCCAGGCTCCCGCAGGTGGCGTACCCGCTGCAGGAGGCGCCGCTGCCGCCGGCGGCGCCCCCGCGCCCAGCGGCAACGGCATGGACACGGACGAGCTCGTCGGTAACTTCCTGGAGCAGGAGGACCCTGGTGGTTTGCTGGCTGCTTGCTCTGCTGACCCCGATAACCCTGAGCGCAAGCGACTCGCCGAGTCCATGGCGCTCGTCACCCAACATATCAAACGGCAGCGGGTTGCGCCAGCATCCCAGCAGCCCGGGCAGCGGCTTTAACAGAGCCAGGCGCAGAGTTTGGAGAGGCATCACGGTGAATGCCAACAGTTATGGGACCTTCGAGTCCCTTCTTTCCCGCAGAGACCTTCGGTCGTGCGACTTTGTCGGTGTCCAGGAGACCCACCAGTCGCAGGCCCAGGCTGCTGCGGCGGCCGCTCAGCTGGGCAAGCTGGGTTGGCACGCCCTCGCGAGGGCCGCTGAAGGCGCTGAGGCCGTGGGATGCCACGGCCACGGGGGCCTCCTGCAGCTCGCGCCGCGCCACTGGGGCATGGCGCCGTTCGAGCACATCGGGATTGACTCCGGCGAGCTCGTGCCTGGCCGCCTCGCGGTGGTCCACCACGCCGGCCTAGTCCCGGGCGGCTTCGCGTGGTTCAACGTCTACCTCTTCTGTGGCGAGGGCATGTCCGCCGCCAACGTGGCGCTGCTGGACATCGTGGCCAAGGTTGCCGCCACGCTGGGCAAGCCCTTCATCGTTTCGGGCGACTTCAACCTCAGCCCCGCCGATATGCAGCAGAGCAGGCTGGTGCATCAGCTGCAGGCCTGCGTTCTCGCTCCCAGCATTGGCACCTGCAGGCCCGCCGACAGCGTCTGCGATTACTTCGTGGTCTCGCCGTGCTTCGCAAAGGCCAAGGTCACCACGCTGATGGACTGGCCTATCTACCCGCACAGGCCCGTGCTGATTGAGATCGACTGCGTGGACGAGCCGCCCATGATGCAGGCCATGTCCACACCCCGGCGCCTCCCGAGGCCATTGCCACGGGGCTGCTGCCCACGTGGCCACGATCCCG